CCCCCCCCCCCCCCCCCCCTCTCTCTCTCTCTCTCTCTCTCTCTCTCTCTCTCTCTCTCTCTCTCTCTCTCTCTCTCTCTCTCTCTGTGTGTGTGTGTGTGTGCAAAACTCTTCCACTCTATTCCAATCCTCTTTCTCTCTTCCATTCTCTTCTAACCATCTCTCTCTCTCTCTCTCTCTCTCTCTCTCTGTGCAAAACTCTTCCACTCTATTCCAATCCTCTCTTTCTCTCTTCCATTCTCTTCTAACCATCTCTCTCTCTCTCTCTCTCTCTCTCTCTCTCTCTCTCTCTCTCTCTCTCTCTCTCTCTCTCTCTCTCTCTCTCTCTCTCTAAGGTGATACTGCCTGGTGAAAAGCGGACCTTTGCACCGCTGATGTACTGCAGATGCCTCGAAGAAGGAGGCCGGCTACGTCTCTCTCTCTCTCTCTCTCTCTCTCTCTCTCTCTCTTTCTCTATCTCAGGTGACACTGCCCGGTGAAAGGCGGACCCTTGTGCCGCTGACGTACTGCAGCCGCCTGGTACAAAATCGGATCCAGTCCCAGTCTCAAAAACGAGCTGGGTCAGTGCAACGTAATCTCGGCTGGGAACGGACAAAATTCCCCCACGTCCAGGACTCAGCACAGACAAAATCGGATCCAGGCCAGTCTCAAGAAACAGCTGGGCCAGTGCAACGTGATCCCGGCGGGCAATGGACAAAATCCCCCCACGTCTGGACCCAGAACAGACGAAGTGCCCACCCGCCTGCCTAGTACCACTGGGAGCTCACTTGGACACAGGTTGAGGTGTTTGTGTCCAGGCAATCCTGTGATCAAAAGAAAAGAGTACATGAAGCAGGACGGCATCGAGTCCTTACCATCCACCCTGCAGCCCCTGCACGGACAGCCCAGCGGCGCATGTGGACGGGCATCCTGTGGCGGCTAGAAGATGTCTGCAGGACAGGGCCAATGGCAAGGGCCGCAGGTCTGCCTGCTGCACGCATGGCCAAATTCTTCATCAACCAGACTTGATGACATGTGGGTAGGCCTGTATATAACCCAGCAGGCCCACTCTTTTTGAACATGCAATAAGATGGGAGGGAATGGATGGGCAACCAAACAGTGGAATAGCATCGACTACACTTGTTTCATCACACATCATCGTGAAGATAAAAGAGAACACTCTTTGAGAAGACAGACAAAACTCTTTGTGAGGAAATAAAAACTTTCGTGAACAGTCGAAGAACACTCTGTGAAGAGTCTGAAAAGAAGATAAAGAAAGAACAGAACAGAACAGAAAGCAAGCAAATCGATAAATGATGCAGCACGACTTTTCAATTTAATTTAAATAATTCCTCTTCTTTCTTTTTTGAAGTTTTTTCTTTTTCTTTAAACCTCCAGTACCTTTCCCCGGCAAAGTCTAGAATCGAGAATGTGACAATCCAGGTTCTTCGCATGGTGCTACCAGACCAAACTGGCTGTCAGCACCAGCCAAAAGAAAAAGAACATCCAAACCGTGGTGGCTCATTTTTTTTTTCGGGCGCATGGGGAATCCACGTCAGCAAAAAAAGGCGTGGTGGTTGAAGAAAACAGGAAAACGTTTTTCTCATTGTTGAGAACTGGAAGATGTCACCCCACCTGGTCGACTGGGGATGACGGTAAAGTTTGTTCAAGCACTTGCTTCACCGGCATCATCCTCGCCACAGGAAGCATGCTTGGCCACCTGAAGACACAGACACACAGGCACAACCCCAACCCCAACACAATATAAAACAGATTCTTAGGGCATACTCGCGCTAGGACTCTGCTGGTCGTATCCGACCGGAGTCACGGATGCTCCTGCAAACAAAGCAACCTGAAGTGCTCAAACTGGAGAAATAATAACTACAAATTCAGATAAACAGTTGAAATAAGGAGTGAAAAGGAAAGAAACGGAGGTCGCGGTGGATCTTCCATTTTCGATATTTTCAAATCTGTGGGGTCAAGAGAGAGAGAGAGAGAGAGAGAGAGAGAGAGAGAGAGAGAGAGAGAGAGAGAGAGAGAGAGAGAGGGAGAGAGAGAGGGAGAGAGAGAGAGAGAGAGAGAGAGAGAGAGAGAGAGAGAGAGAGAGAGAGAGAGAGAGAGAGAGAGATGAGGAAAGGACAGAGGGACCACAATTAGGCAAAACAAAGTATCACCTGTCTCTTATACACATCTAGATGTGTATAAGAGACAGGAGAAAGAGAGAGAGAGAGAGAGAGAGAGAGGGAGATGAGGAAAGGACAGAGGGACCACAATTAGGCAAAACAAAGTATCACTGCTCAGTAGTAGAAAGTACCAGAAACCCAACTTTTATTTCCAAGATCCGCAAACTATCCTCCTCATTTCCCAATCTGCGTAAATATTCCGATATTATAATTTAGATTATTTAGTAAATTTACCAATTTAATTCGGATTCATTAAGATAGAGAAGATATGCCTCCTCTGAGCCAGCAGCCTAGCTCAGTTGGTTGAACATGCAAGTGGTATTCAGGAGGTTGTGGGTTCAATCCCCTACGGCCTCCTACAGTGGGCTTGGTGTTTACCAGCTGAGATAGTTGGCGTGCCCCACCTGGCCGGTCTTGGTAGAAGCCTGGGTTCTACCCTCGGCCCTTGCCCCTGCCATCCCTCGCCCGGAGTTAAGACCTTAGGTACTACTCCCTGCATAGAGTAGAGTAGAGAGGAAAAAGTACCCTTTCCAGCACAGAGTACCGGTGGCGTACCCTTGGATGGAGATTCTCTTGCTCTGATACATGGGTAGATACCAGATAGACTGCAGTGTGTAGGTAGCTAGTGTAAGCACTGTAAGGTGAACAAATCGAGAGAAGAATATAGCCTAGTTTTTTTTTTTAACAAAAGAAAAAAATCTGCCTCCTCTTCTTTTAAAGAGAGGGCAACCTGCCTCCTTCATGGCCTGTTCCTTCTCTCTACCTCCCTTGCCTCCCTCCCTCTCCAATCATTGCCCTTGTGGACTCTTTAGCACAGAACTCCCCACTTTCTGTCACCCAGATGTACACACAGGTCAGAGGGAGGAGACAACTATTGCTGATAGTTTTTTTTATTGAAACTTTTTTCTTTTCCCCCATCCCTTCCTTTTCCTCTTCTGTGGACCATTTTTTTCTTCAACGCCAATTTCTGCCGCAAGCAAAGTTTTTCGGGAGGTGAAGCCCCGAAAGACGTCACATGCTCACCGCCTCGTGCAGACAAATGGCCGGGAAACTTACTGGTGGTTTAAACATTAAACCACAGGCTTGTTTCCATCTACAGGGACATCTGACATTTTTTTCATCATGATTCACAAGGAATTTAACTAGGTGCAGATAGGCCCATACCTCCGCAAAAGTGCCGGTGTGTTAGCCTCACTGACTCCTGGTTTAAATGCATTCATATAATCAGATTCCCCTTTTTATTTTCAACCTTTTAGTCTTTGTTCATTTGCATCTGAGTATATTCCACATTCACGACATCAAATGCAGTACCTGCTTTCTGGCTGACTGATATATCCGTTGATAAGCAGATCACGAGTTCACATTCTAATGGACACAAAAATGATAGGCCCTATCCCCCTTTAAAAGAATGGCCTTGTAAACAAGTTCAGTGGACTGAGACAGAGCAGCATCAGCACAGGCTTCATAAACACCCTTGCTCCGGTCCTCTTTCCAAAGCGCACCCCCCGAAGGCGTTGTAAACAAGTTCAGCGGACTGAGACAGAGCATTGTCAGCATGGGCTTCGTAAACAGCCTTGGTCCAGTCCTCTTCATTCCCCCTGTCTCTTATACACATCTAGATGTGTATAAGAGACAGCTCGTACTCAGTGTGACTTGCTTCGACATGGTGTTCGGAAATCCAAGACTTCGACTTTGGGACTTTGCCACTTTGTGTCTGCGTCCGTCGAGTCATGTCGAGTCTGCGTCGAGTTGAGTGAGTGTGTGTGTGTGCTCTCTCCCTCTCTCTCCCAGCCTCGTTGCCTCAGCCCCGTCACACCGCCCCTTCAGAAGAATGGCATCGTAAACAAGTTCAGCAGAGTGAGACACAGCAGTGACAGCACAGGCTGCGTAAACAGCCTTGCTCTACTTGTCTTTCCAAAATGCACCCCGCAGCGCCCCCCTACACCTGTCTCTTATACACATCTAGATGTGTATAAGAGACAGGCCCAGGCCTCGGCCCCCTCCCCCCACTTCTTTAAAAGAATGGTGTTGTAAACAAGCTCAGTGGACTGAGACAGAGCAGCATCAGCACAGGCTTCATAAACACCCTTGCTCCGGTCCTCTTTCCAAAGCGCACCCCCCGAAGGCTGTCTCTTATACACATCTAGATGTGTATAAGAGACAGGTCCAGTAGAATGGCATCGTAAACAAGTTCAGCAGAGTGAGACAAAGCAGTAACAGCACAGGCTGCGTAAACAGCCTTGCTCTACTTGTCTTTCCAAAATGCACCCCGCAGCGCCCCCCCCCCCCCCCCCCCCCCCCCCCCCCCCCCCCCCCCCTCCCCCCCCCTCGGCCCCCTCCCCCCACTTCTTTAAAAGAATGGTGTTGTAAACAAGCTCAGCGGACTGAGACAGAACAGTGACAGCACGGGCTTCATAACCAACCTTGCTCCAGTCATCTTTCCAAAGTGCCCCCACTAGGAATGACATCTTCTTGACCTGAGAACTAATTGGAATGGCCAGATGGTTGAACGTATGCGTGAGGGTGAACATGAAAGAGTCGGGTACATAGGCAAACCTCAGTGCATGCATCTCATAACCCTGTTTGTCAGTGACCACTAACTACCGTTCATATCCATGCACGCACACAATCAAACTGTGCAGTGCGCACTATAGTGTGAAAGAGGAAAGGGAAAAGAACGCTCATTTGGCATTTTCCTGCTGATAATGATGATTTGGCAGTCTTCACAACAAGGGGGGACGGAAAACAACAAGGAGAACCAGAGGCAGAACAAGAGAAGTGATAGGGAAGGAAAAACACTTAAACTGCATAGATTGAGAAGGCACCCACTCCTTTGGGACATAGATCTGTTCTGTGCACCAACCTGTGAAGGCTGTTTCCAATTGGAAACGGTTCCAGATCTCGAAAGAAGATGCTTACACCCGATGCTGCACCACAGGCAAACAGACGCCCTTGCCATATAGCTGTGACAGGGTTTTTCATCGGCATCCCGCTGCCGGCAGGTTCCGGCGCACCTGGACCACTCCCTCCCAAACACTCCAGTGGCTTCCCATCTCCCCTATGGTCGAGAGCCATACCCCCTGTTCCAGTAAGGGCTGATCCAGAGCTTTCATAGCATTTGCTCACCAGTGCATGATTCTGCATACCATGCGCAGCATTTGCTTGATCGTGGATGGTACTGTCTGAAATGTCATGGCAACCAGGAATTCCACCCTGTGGCTGAGCACTATCCCGTGCGGAATCGCATCTGTTTGCAGGTGACAGGCCTACGCAACCCGCACCCAGCCCACACTGACGTGCCCACGAGTTGTGAGCATAAGCTTGTCTGCCAAGTTCCGGCTGTGTGGGCAACAGCTCACTGTTACTCACTGCACCGCCAGGTCCTAACAAGGATTCCTGGACTTGGCTTTGAGAACCGACCACATCTTGCCTGTGTCCACTTACAGGCGGTATAAAGCCGAGCGGTTGAGCACTGCCATGACCAGGCGGTGTTTGCTGCTGCCGAGAATGACGGGTCCTGCCCCAACCATCAGCAAATGACCCACCACACACCTCCGTAGGTCCCTTTGAAGCCTCTCCTTCCCCTCCATCTGGAAGCATACGCTCAGTGCCAATTCCTGACTCAACAAGTGCAGGCCGATCAACAACGCGCTGAGGCACGACAACCTGCATTCCAGGGGGCAGTTGCCGCTGCGCACCAGGGCATGGCACCCCAGGGGCAATCCCAAGCAATGGAGGAGGGGGGGGAGGAGGAGGTGGTGATGGGGGAGGATCGTCTGGTAGCGGTGGCAAGCTTGCATCCCCTTGGGTCTGTGCACCTGAGACTGACCGATGCTGCGCAGGTGACACCATAGGCAGAGAACAACAGCAATTATTGGCCTGCATTTTCTGAGGGTGTTTCAGGATCGGTGGCTGCATCTGCTGTGACTGAGCTGGCTGCAACTGCGGCGCCTGTGCTACCTGAGCCTTCTGTCCTGGTGGCTGCTGCCCTAGCTGTCCTTCTTGTGGCTGCACCTGCTGTTCCTTTTGCTGCTGCTGATGCTGTGGTTGTTGAAATTGGGGTTGTTGCAGCAGCGCCTGCGCTAGCAGAGGTGGACAAGCTTGTTGCTGCGGCTGTAGAAGCAGGGGCTGCACAAGCAGTGGAAGCTGCTGTGGTGCCAACTGGGATGGCTGGGATTGCCGTGATAACTGGCCTTCCTGTTGTACCTGCGGTTGACACGGCTGTTGTCCAGGACTCTGGTGAAGCACCTGGCCAATGCGACAACTCTCCCCGCTACTCAAACTTGTAGACGTGCCAGAACACCCTTCACCTGACACCAGCCCTGGATTAGAGGAAAGGGCATTCCTGATGCTAGTTTCATCCAGGTGCAATACACCGGGCCCGGCGCCAGGGAAAATTGCCCCAGACTCCTCCCCCCTTTGCTCCCCAGCTCTGCTTACCCCTTCCATGGGCTTCAATGGATCGATAACACCTTTCTTACTGATTTCCATAATCATTCCCTCCATAGCAGCTGCCACAACTTGCGCATTGGCAAAAGCTTGCACATTTGCCAGGACTTGAGCGCTTGCCAGTGCTCGTGCACTGGCCATTGCCTGCGCGTTGGCTTGCGCATGTGCCAGGACTCTAGCATTTGCCAGTGCGTGGGCATGCACCAGCGCCTGAGCATTTGTCCACTGATTCTGGTCTGCTGTTTGCATTAATGCCAGCAATGGCCGTGAATTCACTGCATGCAGACCTCCTCCTGCTGCTCCTGTAGCATTTGTCCATCGAATAGGGCTGCCGCATTCTCCTTCTGCAGTCCCCTGCAAGGGAATCTTTGTGCACTCCCCTTTGGTGCTGTTTCTCCCTTCCACCACAACTCCATTTGCGCACCCCGCTCCCCTTGAATCAATTCCAGCTTCAGCTCCATTCACACTTCCATCAACTCTTGCATTCATCCTGCCTGCATGATTACCTGATGACGCCACACCTCGTACCTCTGACTTCTTGAAGTATGCAACATCTGTGATTGCAGCCAGGGCATAGGCCATTGGCCGCATGGATGAGCTGTAAAATCAAAGCAGGTCAAACATGTTCCCCATCATGAGTACCCCAGAAAGAGCATCGACATAGATGGCCAAACATATACATTTTACACGCGTAACTTTGCAAACCAAACGTTTCTCTGCGGATTCAGGCTGTACTCAGCAAGCGCAGTACGGCTCTGAAATCAGATTTAAAAAAAAAGCAGCAGTCAGCCGACCCGTCGACTGGTACCCCCGACCGGTCGGCTGCGAGTCGGTAGGCGGTCGAGGTAGGCGGTCGGCGGGGGTGCAACCCTGACGCATTAGAATTTGCTTTCCTTCTCATCGTCATCATCACCAAATAAGGGTCCACCATACTGTGTCCCCTGATCGCTCACTGATTTACTAGCTGGTGAGACAGAACAAACCCCGTGCATGCCACAGCTCCCAATAGGACAGAAACGAGCTGCAGCAGCCTGGTGCCATCCCATCATGCGCTTGAAAGTATGTGTTCAGGTTTGACCCTGCAAGTCGCATAAAGCGCCGTCGAGTGGTTCGAACAACAGGAAGTTGAATATGCGTGCATTGAACTGCGTTCTCCTTGTTCTGCTCTGGTGTGAGATGACATTGCTGCTGATCACAAACAAGTCCCACCGTGAACCTTGTGGTCTTGCAACCCTTCACACAAATGGAAATTGCTTGGAAATTGTTCCCACCTCTGTCATGAAGACTCTGTCAGGGAGACCCCCTTGCAGTAGGTTGTACCTTTTCTGAGCCGGACTGTTTAGTTTGTTCTGGTTAATTTTGATATCTGGAACATCTTGTCCTTGGGAAGTTATCATCATCAACCCCTGCGTTACTTTTGTGTTCTGATAAACGCATTAGATGGCGGGCATCAAGAAGGTAAGAAAACATCTGATGTGCACCGGTCGAATGGTTGAGTGGCGGAGGGCGCAAAACCATTTTTTTCTCCTACCCGTATCCAACCCAGCCCCATGCCTTCATGTATCACGTCTAGGCCGACCCACGTAAATACAATTTTTTTTTACCCACACCCAGTCCACCCAAGCTGATTTAAAATTTTCCTGCCCGTACCCAGCCCACCCAGCATCTACAATGCTAGCCATACCCCTACCCAGCCACATCCAGGCCAAAATTTCATCCACCCAGCTCCGGCTGCATCCAAAGCCAATTTCATCCCCCCACGTGCAGCCGTACCCGTGCCCAATTTTTTCCCACCCGACATACCCTTAATTTTTCCCATCATTTCAAACATAGGCCTTTGGATGTTAGATTCTTCACTTTTCATATGCAGACTGCCGCATTCACCACAACCGTAGTAGCAATTTAATGAAAAAATCATATACTTCAAGGCAATTAAAAAAAGAGAAGGATAACAAACAATTTAGTGAGATGCGAAGGTGAATCAGCAGACTCTTTTTTTTTTTTTTTGGATCTGACTGCAATCATGTCGTGAGCTATTTACCAAATGTCCTAGTGTGAGTATGCTCTAAGACATAACGGCAGACGGCCCTGATCGATGGGCGTAGCTCAGTTGGTACACCAATGAACTGTTGAAACACAGAGCTGTGTTCGAATACAGAGGGAACTACATGAATTACCCGAGGCCGGTCAGTTCTATCTCAAGACCGTTGCCCTGTCATTAAAGGCTCGAAAAAAGGGGTTAGGCCGAATTAATAGTATGGCCTCGCCCTGATCCGAAGCTCAAGCATAGTATTCAGATTATGGGCAGAACCCCCATTAGGGCACCACCCGCAAGACGGCTCAGCAAACAGTATCCCTGAGTCCCTAGAAGCCAACATACTCTCAGACTAATTGATAAGATAAACCAAAAAAAAAAAAAAAAAAATGCAAAGCCCAACCCAAGATAAATTTACACCTTTACTATTAGAGCCTACCTGCCCACAAAACCACACTAGCCTAAAGGGATCAACACACCCATCATCAAACTTATCTCAGCCATCATCGCCATCCAATTGACCCCACTCCGCCCACCCATCCGTACATAAGCAACCTCATAAGCCACTTCCGCCTCTACACACGCCTTTCCACTCCCCCCTCCCCAGCCCCCCAAGCTAGATCAAACACATACTTACTTATACCTACCCCCCCACCCCCACTCCTCCCGCACTCCCCAGCTACCCCACAATTACCACCGGCCTAAAATGCCCATCCTTACCAACCAGCCGCCAACCCCAAATAGAGAAAGGTCATAGAATTCTACTTGGCACTGGGTCATTTAGAACTCTGGCATCCTTTAGAGATACCTCTCGTCTGGGTTTATCACAGTAGGCTGCAAAATAGGTTATAAACAGAGAGTGCAAACTGTACGACCAGAGGAATCACTAGAGAGAGGGAGGGTCTTTAGGACCATAGAGAAGGGCGTAGAGCAGAAGTATACGGACGCTACAGGAAGAGCCAGGAAAGTCAGGACAAGTTGCAGACTAGGGTTTAAGGTTGAAACAAGCGTCAGGAAAGGCCCAGTTAGCAGTTCTAACACCTAAAGCCAAGCCGACCGCCAAGCAGCTGAGAGGAACAAGCTAGCCCAACCGATGCTTGCAGGATTCAGTTAGCAAACGGGAAGGAGGACTTAAGACTGAGCCTAAATTAGGTCCATTAGGCTTGCTTAGGCAGGGGTGAGGGGTGGTACATCCTTCCTTAGGGAAGTAATCAATGCCGTCCCTCGGGCCTCCACACCATAAGGGGGAGGAGCATGTGTGAGTTCTCATTGTAACTCTCTCTGACTTGCCGGTGGAATAGGAACCGGACTGATGCTCCCCAGAATGGAAAAGGAGCCGGAACCGTAAGGGTCTGTCTTTTTTTAAAAAAAAAAAAAAAAAAAAAAAAAAAAAAGTATGGCCTGGCCCTAATACGACCTAGGCTTGCATACAGGTCTTGGGTCACCCAGGCCAAACCTCTACCCAACTGTAACCGGACCCGGGGTGGACCTTTACCCAGCTGTAACCGCCCACGCACTGTTTCAACGCCCAGCTCCACCCACCCTACAGTTTCCTGCCCCAGCCATATCACCCATTCAGATTTTCCTACCCAGCCGCACAGGTGCATGCTAATCTTGCCATACCCACACTCGTCCAAAACTTCCGGGTACGGCTGGGTAAGGTTAACAAGTTCAAACCCGGATGAATACAAGTATCCCAGGGACTACCGTCTTGGCCCTAACACAACGCACCCTCATCGTGAATGAATATAAGCCACGAGGCCAGTCAGTACAGTCATATTGAGGGTGCGTTGTGTTCAGGGGAAGACGGTAGCCACTGCGGAGTTCAGGCGTGCACAAACATGTATTTAGCTTGTTCGGCATGTTCGCTATATCCTTCATGGGATCTTTGCCACAGCTAGCCTTGCCATTGAGCCACAGATATGCGGAGGCAGCAACCGCTATCCATTCCGAAGAGCCAGGGTGGGGATATGGACAAAGAGTACCTTGGATTCCGGGGCATTCTCTTGTTAATCCTTTGAACGGCAGCTGCAGCTGTCTCCATAGAGTCCCAGTGGACAAGAACACGTCTGCCATGGGCTCCAGAACCACAACCTTCAGCGTGCTCCACCACAGACGCTCCCAGCACTTGCCCAATGTCCTCAACAATAGACAAAAAGAATTTCTTCAGCTCTGTCTCCGCCCAAAACTTGGGTGACACAGCGTACTTTTCTGAGAAGGTTATGATGAGCGAACATGGTTCAGTGTTGGGCACGACTCTCTCCCATTCTGGTAAATCCGCATTTCTGGAAGCCACTCTTTGTTGCCCACCTTCGAACGCATAAGGATGACCTGTGCTCTTGCTATCCACCGCACTCCCCGTTGTGGCCTTGGTGGCACCGATGCGCTTAACATCCCTTTCCTTACTGTATCTGTTCGTGGACAACATGGATGATGAAGAAACAGACTCGGTGGGAGGGTGCTGCGAGGTAGACACCATCCTGCCAGAGCGATTCTCATGCAGGCTCCCCTCCTCCGCAACAGCCTGACTTAAGCTGGGACGGTACGTGAACCCTGTGCTTGATGGCTCATGCCTTGGCAAGACCGGGCTCATGGGCGTCATCAACAAGGTGGGAGGTTCGGACATCTGGCTTGGCGGTGATGATGGAGAGCATTCCTGTGCAAGAAAGTCTTCTTGCAGCTTCTTTTCGTACTCCACGCTAATGCAGGTCGGTCCAAACCGCACACCATGAAGCCTCGACTTTGCAATCCGTGCGTCCTTTTCCGTGGCAAAGTGCACTAGACAGATCTGCTTCTCGGGCACAAACTGACAACCAGTCAGTTCGCCAAACCGCGCAAATGCATTCATGAGATCATCACGTCGAACATTTTGGTGCACATTTTTTACCAGCAGATGCCTCTTGGATTCCTCATCACCCCTCCAGCTTCCCCAGACCCCTTCATTGCGATCCTCCACGGTTTCCAATGGCTCACTTCCTCCACTTTGCCTTTCCTTGGTTCTATCCATAGCTTGTTTCTGCATCATACCTTTCTCATTCATAATCGCCCACATCTCCTTGCTGCATCTTCCTGCCCTCAAGCGAACAATTACCGTAGCTGCCACTTCCAGTTTGTCAAACTCCAACAACAGCGCCCGAGCCCTGACAAGAATGGTGACAGACCTTGGCATCGCCAGCCCAGCTGCAGCAAGGTCGCGTAGCAGAACTGCCTTCTCGTTCTGATGGCGAACGCCTCCCACCCACACAAACGCAGTTGTGTACTCCATGCCATCTTGCTGACTACCAGCATCGTCTCCATTCCGCCGCCTTCCCCGCCGTGCAAACCGCGTGCCCCGTGACATGAACTTCACATGGTGAGGCTTTCCAGAGATGGAGCCTGCCTCTATTGCTTCGTGTGCATGTGCCGCATCACGCACAGAGCGAAAGTCGACCAGTGCAGCACAGCACTCGTCAAATATGCAGACATCCTCGACTGGTCCAAATGCCTCACAGGTTGCCCGAACCATCGCCTCTGTTGTACCTTTCTTCACAGACGAAACCCACAAGTGCCGACTCGCAAAGAACACCTCCATCGCGCGAGGATCGCCATCTGTGCATGAGTCTGCTTCTTTTACAATGTCTGCGGAGTTGTCTGTCAAGATGCTCCTCGATCGTGTCCATTTGAGACCAGGTGCATGCAGCTTTCTCCACCTCATTGTGCCCCTTCCTCTCCTCTCATCCCAGCCACCCTTCTCAAACCTCCTAGAATTATTACTATTGTTATTATTATTCAGTAATCCGTGATCCTGAGTCACCTCCCACTTCATCCTCTTGCGGACTGCAGCTTTAGCATACTGACTGGTCTGCCCAGGAAGGCCAACGAGGTCGAGGCCCTTTGGCGACTGGAATGCGTTTTCGTCAGATGCGGTGCTATCTGCTGCATCGAACCCCTGCTCAGTGTTGTTCATTGCCTCTTGGTTTCTCTTTCTCCCTATTCCGTCCAGCCTCCTGCTAGCAGACAGGACTCTTTCGTTCCCCCTATGAGAATCACTATCATTAGAGTCGAAAGGGATCCCATCCACCAGCTTGTTGTTCTCGGACTTTCGAGAGGCCGAGCAGACAAAGCTGTAAGAATTTCCCAACTGATAGCGTCCCTTGGCAATATGTGCGCCCCTTGATTCTGCATCAGCGTCAGGTCGTGCACTTCCCTCTTTCACACCCTCACCAGAACCTTGTCCGCGTTGCTTATACTTGCCTGCCGGTGCACTATCACGATCATCATGGCTGCTTGCTACCGACTGTGTCGTCTGTGTACGATCTATCAGAGATTTCTGCACCTGTTGCAGTAGCAAATCTGTCATGTCTGTGCCCAACCTCTTGGCAGTATGCCACTTGCGACGAATGTCCAGACAATCCCGGCCTCCGTCGATGCCAAGTCGCTGTCCAAGGTCCACCCCTCCACCTCTTGCAACATGCCCCACATTCTTCTCAGTACCATCATGGCTTTCATTCCAACCAGTTGGCACAGGGCTAACTCTATCGTCGCTTACAAGAGCAGGGCTATCCAAAGCTTCTTCATGTTTCTCCCGGTCATGGCATCCGTCATGCTCATTTGCACTACTGTTGCATCTGAACCCCATGGACGAGTGTGCTGCTGGTCCATCTCTCTCTTTGCCATTGAATCGAGAGACGGCGACCTCAGGATGGTCCTCATCAGACTTCAATGGGCCACAGCAAACCCTACCGTGCGCAGAAGAATCTTGCACTCCATTATCGGCGTCATCCATGTCCCTTGCTGTCTCGACGGCTGCATCATCTGTTCCTGGCACAGAACTCGCCTGTCTAGGAGATGCATGCAGTAGATACGGCTCATGGTGAGGACCATAGCCATCATCTCTGGATGAGCTTTTCTTCAGCCGCTTCGATTGGGACGTGAAGGATTCCTCTAGCTGAGAGACTTCACCATGCACCCCATCCTCATCTGAATGCCTCCCCTGCGGTGTGGTGTTGGCATATGGGAGACGTAGCACGGATTGCGGCTCGGCGTGGATGACCTCTGGCAAAGATGGGCTGTCTGCATCGTATTGCCCGTTCCCGTCTGACGATCCACCAGGGAGATCAGCTGCTGAGAAAGAATGCAAGCTACGCAGCAGGCGCTCCATGTATGGCCACGCTTCTTCCACGTAATGAGAAGGCACAAGACTGCGGTACCTTTGGACCGCAGTGACAGTCCAGCGTTCCAGCTGAAAATGCCCACAAACAGCCTGTGAAAGCAACCCAGCAAGAGATAAGACCCTCAAGAGTTAGTGCTATGAATGCAAATATACTATTCAGAATCTCAGACTGGCATGTTCACTATGACCGAGGAGATCCTCAAACGTCTCAACACAAAGCCTGTAGCGAAAAGGAAAATACACAGGATGGGGTATGACGCAGGAGCAGGACAAAGTACGATCGCAGATGCAGGAAACAGAGAGCAAGGCATGCACAGCACAGACCGAAAGAAGCAACGAAGTGGGACGGATGCAACCCTCTTGCCAGGAAAAACGGTCAAAAGAAGAGAGGGAGTGGACTTATCTAAACCTGAGCAAAAGATGAGCTTTGGGCCTCCAGCTCTAATGAGAAAAACAACGTGACCGGGTGCAATAGTTTTAGAACTTCCAGCTGGGGACAATAAAACCTGAGTGAATCTGCCATACCCATAAGGATATGACGGAATTGGTAGACACCAATTTGGAGTCCTAGGCGGACCCCCTAATGCCTGGTCGGCCAGTAGGCCTGGGGGGATCCGCCTGGGAAACCCAGGCGACACAAAAACCTGGCAGGATTTCTTTTATTTTTTTGCGAAGGTGGCGTCTTGCTGCGCTCCCCCAGAGGACCCCAGATCTGCAATAAAAAAGT